TCTTCCTCTCTCTCCTCTTTTCCTTCCTTCCTTCTCTCCTCTTTTCCTTCCTCCATTCTCTCCTTCCTCCCTTCCTTCTTTCCTTCCTTTCTTCCTCCCTTAGAGGACACTTGGCCACCTTTTTTGGAATTAGGTAAATTATGTACTCATCGGCTGCCATCAATCAACCAGGGTTTATAGTTTCTCTTTCTTTTGGGTAGGGCTGGGGCCAGGAGTTGAAGGCCAGAGACAAGTGGCTCCCTTTGCTTAATACTTGTTTCTTGCTTTTAATTGGGCTAAGGGTTTTCCTACCTAGGTGAGAGGGTTAAGCTGAGTTACTGTGGAGGCTCCTCGGAGGGTTGGGCTGTTTGTTTTAAGGCCAGGGTCATGGCCTTTCCTTTGCTGATCCCTGACTTGTTGATGTGTGTCCTCCAGCTCCTACATCACAGGAGCTGAGTCTTGAATCAAGGCTGCCAAGTGAAGGGTGGGTTGAACAGTGGCCGGTGGGGTACAGTTTCATGCGTGAATGTGCATGTTATCCCTGGTTGTTAGGACCTGGCCAAGGACTTGGGTGTGTGTGTGTGTGTGTGGCAGGACACTGGCAGACTTTCACTGTTAGGGAAACAGTGGGGTCCCCATGGGAAGGCATTCTCCAAGTGCTTGCTCCCTGGAGGGCTGGGGAGAGAAGTAATTGTACCTTCCATCAGAACAGTGGAGCCCTTGCAGGCAAGCCCACCTCCTCCCACCCTGTGAGTTCTGCTGCAGCAGTGGGAGCCAATCCTTTAATGGTGGGATAAATGACCCTTCACTTTCCCAAAGTATGCATTTGCATAAGTTTCTGGAGGACTACCAGTTGGGGAATCCCTGCCCCACTTGAACACAGATATACTTGATATGCGTGCCTTGTTTGGGAGTGAGCTTGCGCGCGCACACACACACGCACACACACACAGAGCCTCAGTGCATCACAGCTGCTATACTCCCTCCTTTCTCCAACCTTGGATTCAGCCTGTGGAGACCTTTTCGTGGCTTCCTTGTCATGGTCTCTCTTGGCTCATTGGCCCTTGAGAGCAGATACATTCAAGGTCTTTGGTAGCTACTCACTGAATGACTCCAAATGAACTCTGGATGGATGAAGTGTGGAGGAATTGGGGATGGCCCAGGTTTTGTGAGTCCCAGGCTGGGCCCTGGGCCAGCTCTTCCTGCCTTGGCTACTTTGGCCCAGGGACAGCACACCAATTACCCCACACTTTCCAAGAATACACACTCCCTCTTCCTGCTCTGAATCGACAAGTAGCAGGCAGTGGTAACAAGTGACCCAGCATGACAACCTTGGCTGCACCTGCTCATGGAAGCTCAGAGGACTCTAAGATTTGTGTGACCCAATCTTGCCTTACAGTAGGCTCATTTGAGGGGCCATCATCTCAGGAGCAGCACCTGGGGAGCTTGTCTGACATCTTGTGGTCTCCCATGGGCTCTGTGATGGTCTGTCAAGTTGAATGAAGGGAATGGTGGTGCCCCCAGCAGTGGGGTCATCAGAGATGGCCAAAGCCTTGGCACCTAGGTCACCATTGGCACCTAGATTGAGAGAAATGGTGATGGGTGACTTTTCCTTGGTGGTTTCTGGGCTTTCAGCTTCTGAGTGGAAGGTCAAGACCCTCTCCACTTGGATAAAGCTCATTGTAGATGTTCCTGCATTTGTGCAAAGCTGAAGTAGAGTCCATGATGGTAAGGTGAGGGTGAGTCTCCTTTAGGGCAGGGTTCTTTTATGAGCTGCACTTAAGGGGCCTTTTCAGTCATTCTTCCATTCAGTCGGGAAATATTGAACCTAGGTGAGTCAGCTCTGCCGTGAGTCCAGGGTTTCATTGCTGCCTGAGCAGACATGGCCTCTGCTATCCTGGGAAGACAATGACACATTGTCCTCCTGATGAAGGCTAAGAAAGTTATATGATAGGGTAGACAGGGGCTGGGGATGTCATCATTGAACAGAGTGGGCCTCGTGAGCTCAGACCTGCCTCATGAAGAGGGCAATCCTGACCCAGGGATGTTGACACAAGCCTGTAATCTCAGCTATTCAGGAGGTGGAGATAGGAGGATTGCAGTGTGAGGCTGGCCAGGGCAAAAGCATGAGACCCCATCTGAAAAAGAAACTAGAGCAAAAAGATCTGAGTGCACGGTCCAAGTGGAAGATACACGCCTAGCAATTGTAATGCCCTGAGTTCAAACTCCCATACCGCCTGGGGAGGGTGGGAAAGAGGGAAACTGCAGCTTTACAAAGAGTTAGGGAACACATCCTAGAGCATTCTTTTTTCTCCAAGCTAAGGCATCCGCCACGGTATCAGAACACCAGATGCTTACAGAGGTTTACAAAGCTCTGTTGACAAGGGGAAAAAATTGGTTTTTTGAACACAATAAGAGTTCCATTCTGAAACTGGAAACCCCCCATGTTCATTAGAGGACACATGGAGCTGTTACTTGCACAGCATGAGTGGTGGGGAGACATGGTCTTCACCTTGACGGCCCTCATTCAACCTGATTTGCAGGCTTAGTTCTCTGCAGGACCAGCCTCCTCGCTCTCGCCTGCTGCACTGCCATCCGCTCAGCAGCAGAAACTGAAAATAGCCCGTCTTCCTGGATTCCTGTCTTCTGCGCTGGCCAACTGGGCAGCCCTTGAATGTGGGCAGCCATGGTGGCTTGGGACTTCCCAAACTTCCCCCAGAGCTGTTGGGTGGAATTCTCCACTCTGCTGTGGAGCCAGGGTCACCATCCACATTTGCTCAGGAAAGGGACCAACATAGGTGCACAGGGCTGGAAGATGGAGAAAGGGCTGCAGATTGGGCCTTGGAGGCTGCTGGTTCCTGCCTGGATCCTTCAGCAGCCTCCACCCTCTGGGCCTTCTCTTCCCTACCACAAAGAGGCTGCCTTGAATCCTGGGGCCAGCCAGTCCATTCATCATTCTATCTTCAGTGACAGAGACTAGCACACAGTGGGAATTCAGCAGGTTTGTCAAATGAATGCAAGAATCTCCATGAGAGATTAGCTCCTTTCTGACCAGTCATTAAAATAGGCCTTTAAAATTTTTTTTGAGTGTAGACTGCCATAAGAAGCCAAAAGAGAGATGGCAAATTGGCACGTTTCGTTTATTGCAAATAACTGTGCACCTCTATCTGCGTGTGAGCATGTGACAGGTTGTTCACGTAATCATTGGAGGCCACAGTGAACGGTGCACTGTTGTTCCAGTCCCTCTCCCTTCTGGAAATAAGCACCCATGTCTCTCTTCCCCTCCACTGCAAGGCGGACCCACAGCCCCTCTCCTCTTGCCAAGGACGTTAGGTCTCTGTCATTGGAGACCCTCCATGTCATGCACAGTCTGTCTGGCAGGAGGCCCAGCCAGCAGCAGACCCTGCCGAGGCTGAATGCACTTCCTTCACAGTTGAGCTCTGTCCCCACAAGTCCCCAAGGGGAAATTGCTTGGCCCTATAGTTCTGGCTGAGGTTAAATGCGCTCCCCCTGGATCTCCTGGCTGGCCAACACGTGGAAAACACTGGACTACAAACAGGGGACATAGATGTGCAAAAACCATGGCAGGAAATGAACTTGGACTCCTTCACAAAAAGACGTATCTGGAAATAGAAGGACTCCAGGCATGGGGTCATTGCCTTGCAAAAGTGAAGCCCCCTGTGTTCTTTCTTGTGGAAGGGGCCCTGCCTTCTGACCCTGCCTGGAACGGGCTGGCTTTGGCTGCTCTGGCACAGGCTGTGGGGTCGGGGCTGGGGGTGGGGAACAGAGGCAGTTATTAAAGATAATTTTGTAGACTAGCTTTGAGTGTTTGTGTTTAACAAACAGCTTTGAGTTCTAATTTTCTGCAAAACACATACTGCAGGTACAATTTGTACTCATTACTATATATTGAGAAAGTTATTAAAAACACTCAAACTTGGTTGCGACTTCCTCTGGCATTGTCCCTGAGTTTTAATTGGTTTTTATCTACTTCTATAAAATATCTCTTTAAGCCCAATCAAAGTTTCAGCCTTGGATATCTTGGTAGCCAAAGGACAGACAGAGAGAATGCATTCTATAGTGTAGGGCTGTACATCTACCCAAATTCGTACAGTTTCAACCAGGCACAAAGATTCCAGCGGGGAGATAGTTCATACTTCTTTTGATGGACACAGTTACCAGATGACAAAATAACAGGGTTTCGTAACATAAGGGTTAAATCTTAATCTCTGAGGTTTGCAAAGCCGCTACTCCCAGGCTCCTTAAAATTTAATATACCTCGTTAATGCTTCCTTGCAAACACTGAAGGGTTTTTATGATTATAATCATGTGTAACTGCACCTAGCACTGCTTCCAAGTAGCATACTAATCAGCTTAATGAGATATTAGTGCACTTTTTTGTTGACTAAAGCAAAATCTCTTTTATTGTTCTAAAGCCTGTCCTTTAGTTTATTTTTTCCCTAAACATTATCTTGCTTTATTATACACCAGTAAATATCATGCCATTGAAGGTGGCTCTTTTTTTGTGGCCAAATCATAAAATGATCTTTCATCTTAGACTGGTGAGTGTATTGAAAAGGGAAACCAAGTTCTGGGTGAATCTATTTGGTCTTGTGGATAAAGCTGTTCTGCTGCAAGACAAAGTCAGATTGAACCAACAGGTGTAGGTCTTATTCTGGGAAGGGGGAGAGAGGGAGGAAAGAAGGAAAAGTTGTAACAGCAGATCCTTGGTTTGTTATTAGGTGTTCAAAGTGGTAAAACTTTAATAATTTAAACGCGGATGAATAATTGCCGTCTGTAAATAGAAAATACAAGGAAGACGATCTATCCCCACAAACAAATTGGAGGAGCTATGCCATATTGCATAATTGGTCTTTAATAATTTATTTTTTTATTGTTGTTTTTTGACTCTCAGTCCTTAGCATGCTTATGTGTAGGTAGTAGGTAAGGCATGAAATGCAAATTGCCCCAGCAGCTGACACTTCCTACCTGGCACAGATCTGAGTTCTGTCTTTATTTTTAGGGATGGAAGAAGCGAGTCTGTGCCTTGGAGTGTCCCCAGCGGCAGCAGCCGCACCAGAAGCTGAGTCCCACCTGGGCAGCCCGGTCCTTAACGGCCAGTATGCCATGAGTCAGAAGTTGCACCAGATCACCTCCCAGCTCAGCCATGCCTTCCCAGAGCTGCACCCGAGGCCCAACCCGGAGGAGAAGACCCCCGCACCTTTGGATGAGAAGACCCACGTGCCCATGAGCGGCCAGTCCATGGGCAGTCAGATGGCACTGCTGGCCAACCAGCTGGGCCGCGACGTGGACACCAGCCTCAATGGGCGGGTGGACCTGCAGCAGTTCCTCAATGGGCAGAACCTGGGCATCATGTCACAGATGAGCGACATTGAGGACGATGCGCGCAAGAACCGCAAGTACCCGTGTCCTCTGTGTGGCAAGCGCTTCCGTTTCAACAGCATCTTGTCGCTGCACATGCGCACACACACGGGCGAGAAGCCCTTCAAATGTCCCTACTGTGACCACCGTGCTGCCCAGAAGGGTAACCTCAAGATCCACCTGCGGACCCACAAGCTGGGCAACCTGGGCAAAGGGCGCGGGCGAGTGCGCGAGGAAAACCGCCTGCTGCACGAGCTGGAGGAGAGGGCCATCTTGAGGGACAAGCAGATGAAGGGCAGTTTGGGACAACCCCGGCCAGATCTGAAGCCTTTGCCACATGCCCAGCAGGCTCCACTGGCTGCCTGTAGCCTGGCCTTGCCTGCCAACCCCAGTGTACCCGATATGGCCCACCCAGTGCCCTCGCCCAAGCCGGCCAGCGTGCAGGAGGACGCAGCCACCCCCGCGGCTGGCTTCCGCTGCACCTTCTGCAAGGGTAAGTTCAAGAAGCGGGAGGAGCTGGACCGTCACATCCGCATCCTACACAAGCCCTACAAGTGCACGCTGTGTGACTTTGCCGCCTCGCAGGAGGAGGAGCTCATCAGCCACGTGGAGAAGGCGCACATCACCGCGGAGTCGGCCCAGGGCCAGGGTCCCAATGGTGGCGGTGAGCAGTCGGCCAATGAGTTCCGATGTGAGGTATGTGGCCAGGTGTTCAGCCAGGCCTGGTTCTTGAAGGGTCACATGCGGAAACACAAGGACTCTTTTGAGCACTGCTGTCAGATCTGTGGCCGGCGCTTCAAGGAGCCCTGGTTTCTCAAAAATCACATGAAAGTCCACCTCAACAAGCTGTCGGTGAAGAACAAGTGCCCCAGCGAGCCCGAGGTGCCCGTGCCCATGGGCAGCATGACCCAGGAGGCCCACGCCAACCTGTATTCCAGGTACCTGTCCTGCCTACAGAGTGGCTTCATGGCTCCCGACAAAGCCAGCCTGAGCGAGCCCGGCCAGCTCTATGGCAAAGGAGAGCTGCCCATGAAGGAGAAGGAGGTACTGGGCAAACTGTTGTCACCCATCTCCAGCATGGCTCATGGGGGTGTCCCGGAGGGGGAAAAGCACTCCCTCCTGAGTTGCCTCAACCTGGTGCCACCGCTAAAATCCAGCTGCATTGAGAGGTTGCAGGCAGCTGCCAAGGCTGCCGAGATGGACCCGGTGAACAGCTACCAGGCCTGGCAGCTCATGACCAGGGGCATGGCTGTGGAGCACCAGGTACCACGCAACCACGACGACGCTTTGGCAACCGCCGGAGTGCTGTTTGATAAGGAGAAGCGGGAGTACGTGTTAGTAGGAGCAGATGGCTCGAAGCAGAAAATGCCTGCTGATCTGGTTCACAACACCAAAGTGGGCAATCAGAGAGACCTGCCAAATAAGCTCGACCCTTTAGAAGGCAGCCGGGAGTTTTTGTCACACGGGCTGAACCAGACGCTTGACTACAACCTGCAGGGTGCTGGGAACATGAAGGAGAAACCGACCGAGTGTCCGGACTGCGGCCGGGTGTTCCGCACCTATCACCAAGTGGTCGTGCATTCCCGTGTCCACAAGAGGGACCGCAAGGGTGACGAGGACGGGCTGCACGTGGGCCTGGATGAACGGCGTGGCTCTGGCAGTGACCAGGAGTCCCAGTCAGTGAGCCGCTCCACTACGCCGGGATCCTCCAATGTCACCGAGGAGAGTGGAGTCGGAGGTGGCCTTTCCCAAACGGGGAGTGCCCAGGAGGACAGCCCGCACCCGTCCTCACCGTCTTCCTCAGGTAGGTTGGCTGGGAAGGTGGGGGGAGGGTTGGGAGCAGGTGGCTAAGGGGCCCTGCTATGACTGGGCTGCCTGGCTTTGCCTCAGTTCTGTTCTGAGATCAGTGTGGCTGGGTCCTAAGGTGGACGGCCTGATGCCGGGCTGTGCCCAAGGGCCATGGCTGAAACTCCTTGGCCTTCCCTGAACACTGGCTAGCAGGAAAAACAGCTGACCCTCCTCCCCTATGGGGGAGACGGCCAGGTGGCATGTGTTTTAATGGGTCACAGCTTGACCTCCCCAGCAGTCAATCAGTCCCATTTATACCTTGACCTCATTCACCATCACCTGGCCCCCAGGAGTGGCCATTTGGCTCCATCCTGGATGAGAATGAGGACGTTCAGACCCTCATTCTCTCCCCTTCCTCTCCCACCCTCCTCCCACCAGAAGAGTCTCACAAAGTCTCTCATTTGGGAATTCTCGCCCTCTCCAGAACGAACCTATTATCTCCTTGTCCCCTTCTGAAATTCCAGTCTGGCTCACCTGTCAGGTCCCTGTGACTTTAGCAGCCACACACCACTTTCCTGGGATGCTTTAGCCAAAACGAACGCAGAGGGTCGAAGCCCAGATGTGTGTGTGTGTGTGTGTGTGTGTGTGCCTGCATGTCTTAAATTGTTCTGTGCTACACAGGCGGTGCGGTGCAGCTTTGGGGTCTAAAATAGCAAAGCAGAAAAATCTGTCATCAAAATGTCTGTGAAACGCTGAAGCTTCCTGGCCCTGTTTAGAACCCCCTTCCCCCCCCCAAAAAAAAAACCCACTAGCCTAGGACAACTAAATTAAAATCAATACCTAACAGCAGGTAAGAGGTCCCCTTCATCAGTTATTTCCAAAGTCCCTTTACTAATGGACAGCAAATTGAAAGTTATATCTCTAGCCCTTTAGAAAGAAAGCACCTCGCTAACACTGTAATCATTCTGCTGCCTAACAACACAGGAAATCATGCCGTAACAAATACCCTGTTACTAATGGCAACATTGTTTTCTGCAATCAGCCATTAAGTCTAGAAAATGAAAGACAGTTTGAGGCACCTCGAGGCACTACAGTGCCCACTGTCAAAGATGCTACCATACGGTCCAGGGTCATTTTTTTAAAAGTTGGGTTTTTTTCCCTCCTCCCTGCCTTCTCAGTATCCATGATTAGTTCAGCCTAAGAACCAATTCGAGACTGAAGTCGACACCAGTTCTGTTTTGTTGTTATTGTCATGTTGCAATCTCTCCTTCTCCTAGAACGAAAATGCACCTTAAAAAAAAAAATCAAATGTGAGTGTGCTGGCTTGTTACAAACCAGCAAAGGATTGTTAAGACGCATAAATTGGAGCCCTGCATTTCAGAGATTTCAGTAATACTGAACGCTGCTTAAACACCCATGAAACTCACTGTCTACTTGTGGAGTCCTCCACTGGGTTGTGATTTATTACTGGTGAGACACTCGGACAGAGTCTACCCAGAAACATGAGCACCATGCAGGATGAGGGTACGCTCTATAGGGCAGTCAGCTATTCCATGGACCACACTCTGATAGACCCCAGGGCAGGCTTGCCACTGGCTCTGCCATCTAGCATGGGATGTTTGTTAAGGAGTGGCTAGTGCCAGGCTGTCACCAAGGACTTCTTCCAAAACTTCCTAGGAAGGGGCTCCTCTTCGGTTTCAGCTTTTCTCAGATTTGGGGGCATTTGAGGGACAGGAAGCAGAGAGCAGACAAGTTTTTGGAGTGATGAGGAGTTAGCAATGACAGATTTCCACCCCTCTCCCCGACCTGCTAAAATAAGGAGGACTTAGTAGAATATTTCAACACCAAATGTTCGCTTCATTAATGACGTGTTTACCATGTTTTTCTCACCTTCTGGCCAAGTGATAGCCTCGTGCTACTTCTCTCTCTCTGTTGCTCCCCTATCTCTAAATACCCTGTTGAAAAAAAAAAAAAAATCCGTTTGCTTAAAAGAACCAACCGGTGTGCTCATGACTCAAAAGAAAATTAGACTTGAGTTTCTGTTATCTTTTCACTTTTATGTCCCTCATTCATTGAAGGATTTTTACAATTGTGAATGCTGATTTTTTTTTTTTCATTTTGGGTTGACTTCTTTGTTTTCTTCATATTCAAATTAGACCCTTTCATAATTTTCTAACTAAGCAGGAACATTGATGGCATTCCAGAGGCACGTCTGGGGATTCAGATTTTCTTGGAATGTAGAATTCTCAACCAAATCTGGTTAGTGTGACTTCTAACAAGTATTACTTGTTAAAAAAAAAAAGTGTGATTAAAATAACCATTTAAATACAAATCTTGGCACAATAGATATATTTTATTATTACCTGTTGGAGAGAAACATGCAAGGTGAAGAGAGGAGAGGAAAAAAAGAATTTAAGCCCTTCAGTAAAAAAAAAGAAGCACTTATTAAGGCCTCTATTAAGAAGTAACAGCAAAACACGGTTTTACAAATTTCTCAGACTGCATAACAATGTCACAAAACTTAATTTGCATCACTTGGTTCTTTTTTTTGTTGAAAACTGGGTCAGTAGGGCCTGAGAAACTATTTTTTCAGATCTTAACCAATGAATTCTTCTTTATAAATCGCTGCTCTTAACATGATAGTAGTTTCTGAATTCATCATAAAAACCTTTTTAGCAGAGCCTCTTAGAACAGACCTCTAGAAGAAGGCTTACATTGAGTGGCAGAGACGCCCTTTGTTATCTGATGTAATTCTTTGCAAAGGAGGATTGGGAACGGAATGGCTGTTTAAAAATGTCTTGCTCAGACCGAGACGAAGAAGGGGTCAAGTTTGCAATCAAACAGTTATTGCCGAGATGGGTGACAGTCACTAGCTAGGCTAATGTGGGATGCAGCTGTTTGTTATGTGAGCAAAAGAATGTTTGAATCAGTGAACATGTGAAAATGATACCAGTGAACCAGAAAATGTGTTTGTTCTTTGGCTCTCAAAACTGCTGAGAACCAAGCTTAAGACCGTCTGCGAAAACCAGGACCTTTGACAAATTGAGAGGTCATATTTTCTAACAGAAAATGGACAAAATTCGTCCCTCAGATCACTGCCCCGTCTTTCCTTTTGTTGCCGTTGTTGTGTTGTTTGTTTGACTCTACACCAAAGTAGACGTTACTTCTGCCTCTGTGCACAATGCAAGAGAAGTAAGTACTCACCAAGCTGAGGCTTATAAATTTTACTTTTATGACAGAGAGAGAGAGCAGAACGGCTCACTTCTGGCTCGCATGCAAAGACTCTGATGGTATTAATCTTTGCATCTTCCCCCAAACCTCCATCTAAGGCTGGGCTCGTCAGATCCTCTGATTCTCCTACTCTGAGTCAGAAAACGACCAAAGTTCTGTTTTCTTCAGTTTTGCTTTGGAAATCACAGCTTTGAAAAATTAAAACTTAATGTACTAAGAAATACTGTTCACTTAGCACAACAGGGGCAGTTACCTTCCGAATTCCCCATAATTTTGGAGTGGGGATAACTGAAGTGTTGATGACCCTCTGTTCATTAAATAAAGTCGACCAAGGTGCGTGATCAATGCAAAACCAGGGAGAGAGAAAAGGAGGGAGTGAGAGAGAGAGAGAGAGAGAGAGAGAGAGAGACATGAAGATGAAAATATCATTAACCCCTACTTCTTCTGCGAGAATATTTTGAAATGGATAAGGGCTATTTGATCAGCTGGGCTAAAAGCCTGATGGGGTCTTCCTTTTGTTGCCTGAGCCATATTCCTGAAATGCTGAGTCTCCATCCTCTGTAGGCCCATTGACCATTACATCAAAGGCTTTATCCTGGACTTGCTACATTTCCATCGGGTGGATAGTGATATGATAGATTTTCTTTCTTTTCTGCCTCTTTTTCTCATATGTCTCCGCCTTCCCGCCCCCCATTCACCAGTGCCTGGTCCACATAAACAAATCCAGGGCACTCAAAAAAAAAAAAAATGATAGGGGAAAAAAAAAAAAACAGAAAAAAAAAATTTAAGTCGGAGGATTAAGATCTTCATTTTTTTTTCTGCTCCTGCATTCCGATTGTTCTTAAAATATTTGGCAATGTCAATTAGTAACTGAGCAGAGTTCGCTGATGAACACAATTTTCCAGTAGACTGAGCTCCCTATTGTTGCCGAGCGAACAGCAGATTTTCGAGGTCATTATCACTCGCTGGTTGTTTGGCCCAGCTGCTTCCTGCTGCAGAAGCCAAACTTTATAAGGGAGCTTAGGGGATGGCTGTAGCAACAGGGGGCTGGGCGGGGGGCGAGGGAGGCTGGCTGCAGCAGAGAGGACCAGACCCCGGCACAATCAGCAGAGAGGAAACAGAAAGTAAAAGTTTCCAGGCGATTCTAGGGAAACCAGGCTGTCACACTCACTCCTTCTGTTCCCCCTGCCACCTCCCACCTCCACTCAGGGAGTGAGAAAGACAAGAGGACACCCTCCCCCCTCCCCCTCTTCCCCTCCTCCCTCCCTGCTCATCTCTTTGTGGATCAGAACTCTGGAATACAATCATTTCATTTATAAATTTTTTAACCCAATCTACAACCATGGAAGTGATTCTTTCATAGGTAAACACCTCCATTTTAATTATTTATTATTTATTTATTTTGGTGGTATTGGGGTTTGAACTCAGGGCTTTGTGCTTGCTAGGCAGATGGAGCCACTCTGCTAGCTCCCCCCCCCCTTTTTTTTTTTTTTTACGGTACTAGGGTTTGAACTCAGGGCCTACAACTTGAGCCACTCCACCCATCCTTTCTTTGTGATGGATGTTTTCTACATAAGGTCTTTTGAACTATTTGCCTGGGCTGGCTTTGAGCCTTGATCCTCCTGATCTCTGCCTCCTGAGTAGCTGGGATTACAGGCATCAGCCACCAGTGCCCGGCTGTTTTTAATTTTTCAAAGTCCTTATTTAGACGGCACTAATAATCTGAAATTAGTAAACTTGTGTTTGTCACACAGGAAATATTGTTTCATTTTTTCATTTTGGGCA